TGGTCAGTGCACACCTAAAGCTGCTGCCAAAATCCATCAGGTCTGGAACTCACTGTGGCTTTAACACTTTTCCATATTGCTCCTGGACCCCAGGGCTTGGCAGCAAACAGAAAGCCTCACTCTCCAACATGCATCCTGGAACGTGGACTGGCGGCTCCCCATGACCCATGCAGGGCCATGTCAGCGCCTTCTGAACAGCAGCAACAATTTCAGCACCTTATGTTTGTTTTGCTCTTAGTGATCACCTTCTTAAGTGCTCAGGAAAGACTGCTCCGTGCCAGCGATACACAGCTTTTCCTGTCCTCCCATCCCATCAGCGGCTGCCTCTGCTATCACCGGGCCTGCCACTAAGAGTCTTCCCGCTTGCAATTTGCTGTTTCTAATCTGTCATCTCAGGAATCAGATGGCCAGGGCTGTTAGAACTCTGTGTAAATGAAGAGCCGGCCTCCGAGAGACAGCCAGAGACCCTCTCCTTCAAGAATGCTTGTTGCAACTTTCTTGGCAGCTGTTTCCCTTCTCCCCAGAGCTTCCCTTATCTAATTCCCCTGCCTGGCGTCCCAACAAGCTGACCTCCATCTGCAAGAGGTGTTCCTATCATGAGATAGCAGTAGAGAACCTACCAGAAAGGAAGGAGGACGCATACGTCCTGGTGCATGTGCCAACACTTTCCTTAGGAACCATCAGACTCACAGAACGCCTGTGTTCCATTTTCTCACTAATATATAAAATGGGCGTAACCATACCCATCCTGCTTACCACACAGACTGAGGGAGGAATAATGGGTTAAAAATCATAACAGCTTTAAGGATGAGTTATTATGAACCTACTGATCTTCACAAAAATCACAATCATTTTCAGAGGTCTATAAACTACAACTGCAGTTCAAATCCAGCCTGCTGCCTGTTTTTGTAAATAAAGTTTTATTGGAACACAGACTCACCCACTCCTTTAGGTATTGTCTCTGGCTTCTCTTTACAATGGCAGAGCTCAGTAGCTGTAACAGATATCATAGGACCCACAAAGCTGAAAATATTTATTACCAGGTCATCCACCAAAAATTTCTCTCTGACCTATCTTATCAAGAACCATTCAAATTTTCAAACGAAGTTTCAAATTTTCACAAAAAATTCAGTTGCTTAATATGGACTATTTCACAACCTAAATCATAAGCTAAAAAGAAGATCTTCAATAACAATGGCAGTAGTGTTATTAGCAACACACAAGAAATTCATTACATGTGTTTTCTGCTATGTAAATCCATTACTGTGAGCAGAAAGCTCTTGGAATTATTTTAAATTTATTTCTTAAAAGAAAAATTAGCTTAAGGCTGAGATTTATTTTCATGTGTATTTTTAGGGAAAAAAGAAATCAGTATTACATTATCCCTATTGTGTCTCACAGCAATGAGGGTGACAAAGCCGCCTGGAGTTGTCAGTGCCAAATACACTGTGGGAGCTCAAATATTAATCAAAGTGACATCTCCAATTTTTTCCCTTCCTAATCAGGCCTAGACATCACAGGACATCCGGTAAATCAATAAGCAAAACTGGATGTCCTCATCACTCCAAAACTGGCAGCATTACATTTTTAGCCAGGAGACGAGGGCCCTCAGTGTCACACAGGGACTTGTCTACTGCAAAGGTTTGCCTCTTCCGTGAGGTAAGCAGACCCACCTATGATCCTGCACGTTACCCTGGCATGCATCTGTCCATCCCACTTGTCACAGAAAAAATGCCCTTTATCATTTCAAGACAAAAATAGGCACGGGGTATGTGACTCTAGACCAAGCATGCACGTACCACAAAAGACGCTAATGAGTCAAGTGAGAATAGGCTTAACAATTTCTGAAAAACTCAAGAGGTCTCACATGCTATTGCCTTCACCCAAAGGTAACTGGCAGAATGACCCACTCTATACTCCATAAACTCCCTGAATCCACCAGGCCACAGATTTGGCTCAGCTGAGAATTACTATTGAGAAAACTTGGAGCTAAAAGCTAAGGATCGACTTACAGTTGGGCAGCCACAATCTTAGAGCCGCAACCATTGACCGATGATAAGGCAAACTCATTTGCACTTGATCTACCAAGGCCTAAGATCATTTAAGTTAGTTTATTTATTAGTCCATTCATCATTAATTCATGTATTCCTATACCAGGGACATCAGTGAACAAGTATATTCTATACTATCAGAGAGCTTTCTCTCAGCCTGATTTGGTCATAGTTGGTTTTCCTCCTTCTCCCCACTTTATGAAAATAAATCAAAATGTTTCCTGATTTCAGATTTTTCCACCTTTATAATATACAGGTAAAATAGAAACCACATATGGTAAACAAAATGAAAGTATATTAGCCAGAAAATCCAGTTTAACAAAGAAAAATCCATTAAATGTTACAGCAAAATTAGAATGACAAAGATTAAAGGCAACACACAACAAAGCCAGTACTGGACACAAAATGAAAAAGAACTAAAAGCAATTAAAAAAGCTTATTCAAAAAGAATGAATGTGGTAAGGAAAGGCGGGCCATCCCCACAGGGTGTTATGTGTTGTGAGATTCACTTTAGATGGTCAATGGAACAGTGCTTTGAAAAAGTGAAGAGGAACATCACAAATATGAAGGCATTGATACAATTATGAGTAACACTATCAAAAAGAAGCTCCATCTTTGACTGACTTGAAATTGTTTAGAAACTATTGATGTAGTGAACAGGCGATAAACCGCCTCATTAGGAACAAATATTCTACAGAGTAATTTGACACATGGCACAAATACATGTACATTATTTGATACGGCCATTCTAAAATAGAGTACTAGGAAATGAAATCAATAACCAATTCTAGGAGCTCCCTGAGTTAAAGTACAATGTGTCCATCATGAGCACCATACCAGTTGTTCATTGATAACCACTTCATCCTGCACACAGAGAAGCTCATGCCTACAGTTAACTGCCTTCCCCTCTGACCTTGGGTTGTGTTAAACCGGCCGAGGTGACTGTGGGAGAAAGAAGCTCCATTTCAGTCCTGCATCTGTGGCTGGAATGGCATCTCTCCCATGACTCCCCCCTTGGCTTCAGTTCACACCAGGTTTTAGTAACACTATTTTCCCCTGTCATTTCTTCAGCCCTAGAGGTGGTAAGAGCTTTTAGATACCGCCAGTGTGCTGGGTGCCTTCACCATGCATTCCTTTTCTGTCCCCTAATCCCTACCCATGCCCTTATAAATAATCCTTTAATTAAGGTCTCTCCTTTTGACTCATCTGGATAGAATTCTGTTTCCTGTCAGGAGTATGACTAAGATACAGTATAGACATCAACTTATTGACATGGAAAGATGTCTGACAGAAAGTAGATCAAAATATTAACAGTGCTAATCTTTAGATGGTAAAATAAGATTATCTGTTTTTCTTTATGTGTCTTTATTTTTCATATGTCCTATCGTGTTTGATTATGCATTTGAGGAGGGATAGAAAATAGAAACAACAGCACTAAGTACAAAATTAAAGTAAATATAATCTCAAGAAGCACTAGTGGCTTGCCTTCTCTCTGTTACTTCTCATTCAATCAAAAAAATACATAAAGAAAACTTGTTAGGGCAGTAAGATGATCAATTACATGCCCCCCAGAAATTTCTTTCTTCTCCTTGGATTCTATTATCTATGAAAAATAAGTATGGTTAACTAGTACCAAGAGCTTACCACCTACTTAGACTGTCAAGTATTGTCTGTATTAGCTGACTCAATCCTGAGGCAGGAAGGCACTATTTTTACTCCCATTTCACAGATGAGGAAGTTATCCTGAAAATAAGTCTAGTAATTGGCCTAAGATCATGGAGTTCTTCATTAACAGTTCATAGAGACATGCCCAGACTTTAGAGAATGTTTTACCCACTCAACTGAATTGACATTCAATTCAATAGATTACCTGAAATTTATAAAACTTTCCTAACTTTGTATATGTTGTGCAAAGAACAGCCAGGGTTCTCAAACTGGTTTACCTCTTAATAGCTGTGCAATTGTGCAATTTACACATTAGAACTGCAAATTCTAGATCCAAAAAATGAGGAATGTAACACCTCTCCCACCTACCTCAGAAGTTGTGAGACTCTACTGGGAGAGCGAGCATGAGAGCTCACCACAACTACAAAACAAGGTGCAAAGACAAGGCAGGATTATGGTCCACCCTCTAGATGTGAGTACCAGTCATCAGCATTCATAAACCACAGTCAAATGTAAAGAAAGCAGCAGTTATTTTCATGAAGAACGACTTAAAACTGTAATATTATAAACCATACAGTCTGATAATAATATCCAATCAAAACCACCACCGATTAATCAGTAAAAATCATGCAATAGTTTCAGTGCAACATCCTCTCAACACAACTAACTCCTTGACTCTGGTCTATTAATGACCCCACCTTATTTGATATATTCCCAGCATTTTCTGAGATGTTACTCTCAAGCATCAGCTGTATTATAAATCTTAAAAAAAAAAAAAAACCTTTAAACAATACATTCTGTATACTGCAATACCCAAAGTTCAACAGGACCACTCAGTTTTCAGTTTCCCTGACTCAACTTTTTGGAGTTTTATCATTAATTATATTCCATTATTACTGATCATCAATTAGCTAAAAATGTTGCTGAGATGGTGAGAATGCTGAAGAAGGCAGAATCTAATGATAATTTGAGACCAGTAGGACACTAAATTTCTCTCTTGTTAATAATTAAAGCAGATAACTTATGTTTTTATTTATGGCTTCCAGAAATATCTGGCTCATTCCTGTGCACTGCCCTGTCAGCTAATCATCAGTTGGTCAGGATCTGACTTAGACCACTGTCTTTCATTTTTCTCACATGCCTTCAGCTGAAGCCATGAAAAGCAGCCCCATCAAATTTTAAAGTAATGTCATCACCATGTCTTCTCTAGAACATTCTACCTGGCCAAATGCTTGTACATCTTTAATATATATAAAGAATGAAAAAAGGAAAATTTAAATTTACCTGTTTCAATCTCCCAGATGTAGACAGAGTCATCTGCACATCCGACAATTAAAAAATTCTCGACTGGGTGCCATTTTATCATCCTTACAGGGAAAAGGTGCTTCCGGGCATGCAGGAGGCACCTCTTCCCCTCCAGGTGAAGCAGAGCCACAGAGTGGTCACTGCACACACAGCAAATGATCTGGTCGCCTCTCAGCTGTGAAAGCACAACATAATGATGAGAGTAGTTGAATGCATTCTTTGTGATTAAATCAGATACACCCTCCAAACTTGAAATCTTTGTTTGTCAGAGCCCTATTTACAAAAGGACATTTCTACTACCTATGCTTCCACTGTAAGTAATACTCTGTGGAGGATCTTTAAACACTAAGTACAGTTTAAACTCAACTGCCTATCAAGAAGGTCAAGAAATGCAAATAGAAAGGAGAGTTTCAGACCAGATCTACTTATGAGCTAAATGAAACACTTGACTATCACTCAGCAGATTCAGGCAGTGAGGCAGACGTCGGAAATAATGCAGAGTATAATAAACCCCAGGACTAATTTGTTGCCACAAAAAGAAGCTATTTGTAGACACAAGCTTAGGCCCAAGGGTATCCTGGGCTGATATTTTCCACTTAAAGCCTCAAAATGTGATTTGGTGCTGTTCCCAGAACTATACAGATTCTAATCCAAACAGGAAACTCAGTGTAGACACAATCTAAAAGAGGTAAGCATTAGATACTTCCAACTGAAAGTAAGGTCTCAAAGACACAAGGACCAAAAATAGGCACACAGGACAATGATCCTTTAGACATTTTTTAAAAAGTCAGCATGTGGTTACCTTGAACATGGTGTAGGACAATGACCGTCCACGCTGAATGCAGCTGAAACTCAGCTGCTGCGTTTAAAGCGACAGTTATCCGTTGAGACTCTCTTGGTCCCCTCATTCATCCCTTGTGGGGGCCTGTCTCTTTACTACTTATTTTTAAGGAAACTACATAAATCCTGGTGGGGGTGGGGGGGCTCACTCAATGGCATGTGTAATAGAGCTGGAGCCTGGACTTGGAGACTAGGTGTCACTTCTCCTCCATCATCCTCTTTCGGAGAACACCTCCATCACACAGCTTCTAGAAACGTTAGCCCCCAGTGCTTCAGAAAAGTTACACACATCACACGTGAATACAAGCCTTATAATCAGAAATGGATATGCACTAGTGACTAGGCCAATCAGCTTCTGTTTTTACAACATTTGAAATTGTGAATTCATAGAAAGAAGAAAAAGGGTCAATCACAGGGAAGCAGACTCTCTTATTGTAGGGGTCTATGGTTTCTCGATTTATAGTTCACGTGCCACTGAGCCCTCACTGTAGTGTTTTGTCTTGGATATCCCCAAAATTGGCTCTCTACCATTTCAATAAACTCCATTTTTTTATTGGACTTGGTTTGAACGGGTGTTGATCATCAGAATTAAATCATCTGTGACTGAGGAAGATGTAGAATGAACAAAAAATATATATATTTTCATATATATATATGAAAAAAAGAGGGGCCAGTGTTGTGATGCAGGTTACACCATGCTGAGCATCAGTTGGAGTCCAGATGTTCTGTTTCTGATCCAGCTCCCTGTTAATGTGCCTGTCTCCCATATGGGAGCTTGCATGGAATTCCTCCTGGCTCTTGGCTGTGGCTTGGCTCAGTCCTGGCTGTTGTGGCCATTTGGGGAGTGAGCCAGCAGATCCCTGCCCCACCTCTCCCTGTAACTGTAACTGCCTTTCAAATAAGTACATAGATAACTAAACCTTTATTTAAAAAAAAAAAAAAGAGAGGGAGAACTTCAATAATATGACATACTGAGATATACCAAATTTCTACATTACTGCTTGTTTAAAAATATCACTTAATCTTTTTCACTGTTTTATTTAGCTGCTTATACTGCTACATTATTCTTATTTCTTACTACAAAAATACAATGTAAATATTTTCCAAGTTTAATTTGAAATTGATTTTTGCAATATTATGGAGAAATATTTTTAGCCAATCAATTAATTTATGAAATAATGTTACCAAGGTTATCATGTGTTTTCATTACAAAGGAAACACTAAGGTTTTGCTCACATTTTAACAAAGACATCCACTCTACAGAAACTGATTTGAAGCTGACATTTCATGAGAAACTTATTTCTCCCGGCACAAGATAGTCTCTTAGATATTTGTTAAATCCCATTATTTGTTAAACAAATGGATGAGCAAATAAAAATCCATTTAAGAAAAAAAGAAAAGTAACATTATAAAAGGAAAGAGTTAAAGGCAAAAGTTAATTTGTAATTTATTGGATTCTATATTGTGTGACTTGTTTATCCATTGAGTAGTATTTTTTTAAAAGTTCCATTAAAAATTAAGTCACAGAAAAAAGGTTAATATGAGAAAGAAAACAGTGATTTTGTAAAGCTAAAAATCAATTAAATCCTTGATTATAACCAAATTATTTGTACAATGTTATAATGGTAAAATTCACACAAAATATTAGAAAGAAATACAGAAAAACCACTCAGTTGAATTACGAGCACATAGTACTTCTTTCTCCCCTTGTGGCAAGTTGGATTTTTTTCCTTGTTTTTCCATTGGTTTTACATTACTTGCAAATATATGTGTTACGTTTTACTTTTTATCTTAACTTACTTTAAAATTCTCTGGCGACATCAAAAGGCTCATTACTGGACCAGCTTCCAAAAAGAATTTATGCAAAATGTCTTCAGTAAAGATGTCCCACAAGATGACACATGAGTTTTGGTCCCCAGACACCATCCAGCTCAGGTCAAATCTTGAAGAGAGACCGTGTGGGTACAGTAAGGCAGTGACTCTTTGGTGATGGCCTTTCAGAACTTTGTGACAGGAGGATCCTGGAAACCAGTTAAGCCCCAAGTGAGACAAAAGTTATTTATGTTCAGGAAATAGTCGTGATTTTTTTTTCTCTAAATGTTTAACCTAAGCATGCACTTGGCTAATAAAACTGGTGAAGAATCCTTCGACCATCTCAAAAGCCAGTGCCACATCAGAAGTCACATTATGCTTTGGATGGAGGAATACGTATCAGTTGCCCCAAGTCTGCTAATTCTTTAAAGATTGTCCTTGTATCATGAAATAACAAACACTGTCCTAAATTTATACAATTTTTGCCCCCACAAAAATAAGCTCAGCTTATTATTTCTGTTGTTTAAATTGGGATGACCAAGTCTAATATATGAGAAAAGCAAAGTTTCACAGAATATGTTTGCTTTGAAAGATATTAGAGATTACCTATTTTGACCTCTGGGTTTTACAGCTAAAATATCTGAGGCTGAGAAGTTTATCCAAGTGTGAAAAACCAAAGCATAATGTTTATGAAGGAAGCTTTGCTATAAAATAAATCCTTTTTTTCTTCTGGGTCCTATTACTTATTAGATATGCCTCCATGGATAAGTTGCCATTTCCTTCTGCAACACAGATGCTGCATTGGAAAAATCTGGATAATAAAGACAAGACTGTTCTGTGGAATAAATAAGATACTATCCAGAATTTCTAAGGACTCTACTTGACACCTGGCAGGGCGTTTCAAACCAGAGCTATACTAGAACACTCACCAACCAACATATCAGTACTCTTCCTGCTAAACAGAGTGCTCCTCCCTTCATCAGTAGCTCAACTCCCCCAGATTGGAGATCACTGTAAACTTGATACTCTCTTTAGTCAAACTCAAAGTGAATCCCAGAGCCGGCACTGTGGCCGCTGCCTGAAGTGTTGGCATCCCTTATGGGTACTGGTTCGAGTCCCAGCTGCTCTACTTCTGATCCAGCTCTCTGCTATGGCCTGGAAAAAGCAGTGGAAGATGACCCAAGTCCTTGGGTCCCTGAACCCGTGTGGGAGACCCAGAAGAAGCTCCTGGCTTTGGATAGGCCCAGCTCCAGCCACTGCAGCCATTTGGGCAGTTAGTGAGTGGATGGAAGACCTTTCTCTCTGCCTCTGCCTTTCAAATAAATAAATAAATAATCCTAAAAAAATAAAGTGAATTTCAAAGAATCATTATTATGAATCCATCAGGAATATTCTCACATCATATCCCTTAGCAAACCAAAATAAATGTTAACTCAGATGTTACCCATCACATGTAGTTTTCTGCTTGTTCTCTGAATACTAAGATAAATCAGTCTTTGCTTAAAAAAAAGCTAAGGTCTTAGATTTTTCACTAACTTTTAACAGCAACCATTTAGCCATATCCCAGTACATTACCTCTCCTCAGTTCCATCAATTTACTCCCTCCCTTCACTCAATCACCAAGTGACAAGTCAGGAACATTAAAGTAGTAGCCAAATCAAGCGTGAGAATTATGATAGTCAACAGAAAATTTTTTTTAAATTGAGATTTAATGTTTACTCTTAAGGATCTTACGTGCCTGAACGATTCATAAAATTTTAAAAAGTGGTATACATATTTTTTTCTACATATCCTAAATTTCAATCACATCTTTTATTTCCTTCCTTTACTTAAGGCAACGTTCTGCATAATGGTCTTCTGCAACTCAAACACAGAAAGATGTTTAATACACATATTCATTAACAAGGAAATTAAAATGGGAAAATGCCATTTTTTCCTGACTGGCAAGGACTAAAAAGTCTAAGAGCACATACAGTTGGCAACGGTTTAGGGAAAAAGGCATTTTTATAGGTTGCCTGTGGACACATGTGTGTAGAGTGATATAAGTTCCTTATGGAACATTTCAGATAAATTTTCAAAATTAAAAAAAAATAAACAAATGCCTGTTCAGAAATTTGACTGCTGGGAGCTCATAACACATATATACTTCTATATATGTCCAAAGATAATCAATTCTGCAATGTCCATAGCAGTTAAAGATTAGAAAACCTAAATACCAATTCATATTTTTAATTGTGATTCTTATTTATCATTTACATTAATAAAGAATTAACTCCAAAATATTTTATTAAGATTTGTTAAAGGGGCCAGTGTTGGGGCATAGCAGGTTAATCTGGTGCCTGTGACACTGGCATCCCATGTGGTCACCAGTTTGAGTCCTCGCTGCTCCACTTCCTGTACAGCTTCCTGTTAATGCACCTGGGAAAGCAGCAGCAGATGGCCCAAGTGCTTGAGACCCTGCACCCATGTGGTAGACCTCAAAAAATTTCCTGGGCCAACGCCATGGCTCACTTCGTTAATCCTCTGCCTGCAGCGATTGCATCCCATATGGGTGCCGGTTCTAGTCCTGGTTGCTCCTCTTCCAGTCCAGCTCTTTGCTGTGGCCCGGGAAAGCAGTGGAGGATGGCCCAAGTGCTTGGGCCCTGCACTGGCTTGGGAGACAAGGAAGAAGCACCTGGCTCCTGGCTTCAGATCTGTACAGCGTTGGCTATGGTGGCCATTTGGGGAGTAACCAATGGAAAGAAGACCTTTCTCTCTGTCTCTCTCTCTCTTACTGTCTATAACTCTACCTGTCAAATAAAAAAAAAAAAATCCTGACTCCAGGCTTTGGCCTGGGGCTGGCACTGTGGCACAGCAGGTTAATGCCCTGGACTCTCTCTCTGCCTCTCCTCTCCTCTCCTCTCCTCTCTCTCTGCCTCTCCTCCCTCCCTCCCTCTCTCTCTTCCTCTCCCTCTCTCCCTCTACCTCTCCTCTCTCTGTGTAACTCTTTCAAATAAATAAATAAATCTTAAAAAAAATTTTTCCTGACTCCAGGCTTTGGCCTGGCGCAGTCCTGGCTGTTGCAGCCATTTGAAGAGTGACCCAGCAGATAGATCTCTTTCTCTCTCTGGCTCTCCCTCTCTCGGTAACTCTGGTTTTTGAATAAATAAAAATAAATTAAAAAAAAAAAACAGGTTTGCTTAAAGGGGTGGCATTGTGGAATAGCAGGAAAAGCCATCACCCACAATGTTGGCATCCCACATGGGTGTCAGTTCATGTCCCGGCTGCTCTACTTCCAATCCAGCTCCCTGCTAAGGGCCTGGGAAAAGCAGAGGAAGCTGGTCTAAGTGTTTGGGCCCTTGCCATCCATGTGAGAGACCCAGATGAAACTCCTGGCTTCAGTCTGGCCAAGCTCTGGCTGTCGTGGCTATCAGAGTGAACTGACAGATGGAAGAAATTTCTCCTGCGCAATCTTGTGTTTTCCAAAGATACTTCATAAAGTTTGTGGAAAAACAGAATGTAAAGACAACATGGGGGCTGGCTCTGTGGCATAGCAGGTAAAGCTGCTGCCTGCAGTGCCGGCATCCCATATGGGTGCCGGTTTGAGACCCGGTTTACTCCACTTCCAACCCAGCTCTCTGCTACGGCCTGGGAAAGCAGTAGAAGATGGTCATGTCCTTAAACCCCGGCACCTGCATGGGAGACCTAGAAGAAGTTTCTGGCTCCTGGCTTCAGATCGGCCCAGCTCTGGCCGTTGCAGTCAGTTGGGGAGAGAACCAGCAGATGGAAGACCTCTCTCTCTCCCTCTCCCTGTCTCTCCCTCTCTGAAATTCTGATTTTCGAATAAATTAAACATTTTTAAGGAAACAATTTAAGGGCATTTCATTAAAGTGTGTATAATAAACATCTGTTTGTCTAATATAATTTAAAAAATGTAGACTGCTATGCTAATACGAGTTTGTATATACATAGACAATTTCATGTGTAGTATAAAAATTCTTATCGGTAGGCTTTTTTCCTTAGCGTTAGCACTGGAAGATCAAGTGAGGAAAGAAACTTACTGTATATATTTCCCATAGGGTTTTGACATATCTTACATGTATGACTTACTCTAATATAAAAATATGTACAAATTTATCAGTGAAACTAGCCAATTCTTTAAGCCTCTGAACCTACTTTAGTGCAGTAGGTTACAATAAATAGGGTCAAATAAAATGCAATGACCTTTTAATAAAGAACCGCCTTCTAGAAGTCCTGCTTTGGCAGCACTCAAAGCATGGGTGATGAAAATTGTCCCATCTTCACAGCCACATATTAGCTTATCAAGACTTGGAACATATTCTGATGAAGTGACTACAGCAGTTCCGGCCCCATCTTTAACCTCAGAGAAATGGTCAATGATACTTTGTGATACAACATGATGCTTATCAAAATTATCTTGAAGGGTCCAGGTGGCAGTGATTGGGATCTCTAAAAGGAAAACACACAAAAAGGAAAATTTTGTTTCTCAATTCTTCACAGATATGGAAAATATCAAGGCACCATCCCTTCAAAACTACAAATGTGCTGTAATAGCTTTTTCCACATTTATATTAACAGTATTCACCCCTTGTTGTGTTAATTTGAAAAATGCTGATAGTATTGTTGCATAAAATATACAGGCTTCACGCTTATGCATGCTTTTACCAGGGCATCTAGTACCTAGGGGCATAAGAAAAAACCTCCTTGTGTGTAGCTCCACTGCTGCTCAGTTTAGGCAAACAGTGAGTTAATTGCAAATTAGTACTCAGAAGACATGTGACTAGAAATGGAAACAGTCTTACCTCCAGGGGAACCATCAGACTTGGAAATAGGAACATCGGGAATGTGCCACAGTGTAATTCGCCCCGACATTTCTCCAGAGAAGAGTACTTTATAAAATGGCTCTTTCCTTTCGTTCATGTAGCCCATAACAGAGGGACGGCTCTGTTTCAAAACAAAAAGTGAGCTTTTATGCAGGAAACACTCTGACTGCAGAGAGATGGATACTGTTTTAAATGGAGGAAGACCACTTCAAAGCTGAGCTCATCTTTTTATTTCCCACTCTCAAAATTTTCAAGGAAACTAAATTAAGTAATCTGTAACTCTGGACAAAAATTACTTACAAAACATGAAGCAAATTCACCGCCTTAAGAGAGTTGGTCAGAGTAGCTAATGTATACCAACTATGTTCTGCATATGTATGGCACACACACACTTGGTTAAATATACATCATAATAATCCTGTTACTGTCTTAATTTTACAGACAAGGAAACTGGGAGTGAAGAGATGGATTTATCTAAGGCGATAGAAACAACAATGGGCTTTGGGTCTAGGAATTCTGACTCAGGAGCCCCAACCTTGATAATACTGTCCACTAAGAAAGCCCAATTTCTTTATCATCCTTTTAGTTCCATTTGTCAGTTACAACTGCAAAAACTAATAGCTATGTATGTAGTAATTTTGTGTTAATATGCTTTCCACTTTCTGTTGACCATTTTTTAGATTTAACAGGTTACTTCAAATTTCTCATGATTAAAAAAAAGAAAAATGATCTGTAAATTATACATACATGTGTACATATGTATATATATAAAATACATATAGATACATATATACATATATATACATATATATATATAGAGAGAGAGAGAGATGTATATAATATTCCAGCTTCCTGCTAATGTACACCCTGGGAGGCAGCAGGTGATGGAAGTACTTCTATCTCTCCCACCTACATGGAAGACCTAGACTAAGTTCCTGGCTCCTGCCTTTGGACTGGTCCAGTATTTGGGAAATGAGTCAGTGCATGGAGGATCTCTGTCCCTCTGCCTTTCAAATGCAATGAGAATTTTAAAAAATTTGCAAAGAAAAATAATTTATCAAAAAATAAAGTATATATATTATAATTTTGCTTATGCAAATACATGAATATCAGGCACCAGAGCTATTAAAATCCTGCATTCACTGGCAAGTAGGTCTAGTACCTCCCCAGTATATCTTTGCAGTGCAGCTGTTCTTTGGACAGACTTGTAAATAGAAGTTAGACACAAGAGATCAAAATGATTAAGTCATTAGAAAAACAAAAGCAGAAGTCTCTTTTGTTGTACAATGAAAGGCATTCTGAAAAGAAAGCTAACTGCTGGCCTTGGAATTAAGGAAGTCAAGAAAGTGATGGTTCCTAGTCAAAAAATACATGCTTTACCAGATTTAGATTTATTAGAGGAAAACTCTGTAACAAATCTTTAGGGAATACTAAGGGTCAAAATATCGCTACATTTAATCCTTACAACAAAACTATGAAGTAACTATTGTAATTATCCATGTTATGGAGATAAGGAAGCAAAACAAATCCAAGGCTATTATGACCAAGATGCTTGTATGTAATTATCTATAGTCCTAAGAAGCAAGAGCGTTGCAGAAAACAGCTCCAGTAAAGTAGTTATCTAGATGTATGGATGGATGGACAGGAAGGTGGGTGGGTGTGTAGGCAGGCAGACAGGCAGATATATAGACAGTTAGATAGACAGACAGACAGACAGACAGATTCATAGGGTGCTTTGGTATCTTACAGATCTCACAGCCATGATTTTTATAGGTGTTAGAAATGGTGGTTAAACTGGTGATTCAAACTCTCCCAACCAACTGGGTATCTTGAAATTATTGTTCCAACTTCCATGTTATTTTGATTGAAAACAAAGCTCCACTTGTTACCAACTCAAATTGGTAGCAAGGCATCTCCTCACCTAACTCTGTGCTCTGTCCCTATAATCAAGGCCCCCTCAGTAATCCTCCCTGCCCTTATCTTCTATAGAACTCCTCATGGTCACTCCCACTCCTTAACCACTTGGTTTTCCTTCTCCCCAGTAGTTCTTTCCGAAGTTTGCCTATACACCTAAACCCCCCTTTGTAGAACCTTTTCATGTGAGTTCTGAGTTTTCATCACAGCACCCAATACTCATCACAGGGAGTACCTGTTCTCTAAGGGTAATACAATACAGTCAGGAGGAGGGAAATCTCAGACTGGTTTCAACTCCTGGCTTTCCACATACAACTATTTAAAAAGCAATTTAACTAACACTGTTTCATATCCCCAATTGTTACTCAATAAATATTAACCATTTGTATCTTTTTGTTGAGAAACTCACACCAAAAAGTCATTATCAGATTTTAGGGCTAAAATCTTGGCAACTGATTTCTCTGAACAGCAATTTCAAAATAGTTTCTTGATGACAACCCAAATAAGTGAGATGGTGTATGTGTTTTATTATTTTAATACTTTACATATTTATTTACATAATTTTTATAATTATTTATTACATTTGCTAATAGCAATAATAAGAGCTCTCTATCATCACCATCATTCTCATTACTCTTGGTCCATGCACCCAGATTCCTTAGCAACAATCAGGCTGTTTTGCTCCCAGCTACTCCCACGCGGGCACTGCAGCCAGACTCCTCAGCTGAGATGCCAGGAAGTCCACTTTCTCATTTCAACAGTCCTTGACAGGGCCCCTGCCACAGGCCTCTGCAATCAACACCTATGATTTGAAGCCAGGGATATCCTCAGGAAGCTACTAGAAAGAAGGCTGAGTCCCTGTTCTTGCTGCCACAACTCCATCCGCAACACATTCATGGGAATTACAAAGATTAACTTGGAATACGTTACTGTCAATCCTTGACATGTAATTCTATAATATCACTCCAAAAAAATTAACTGGGTCTATACCATATGCTTAAGAATATACTTTCTAGGCTCATTGTATCTATAAAATTTACCTCCCCACCACACACAATGCCTTCATTATCTGCTAGATGTACAAGTAAGAAAAACGGATATGCCTTTTATTTAGTGACTAGAGTAGAGGTTTGACTAAGCAGAATGATGTCTGACTTTAATTTATTCAGTTAGGATCTATGGATGGGTAGATCATTTTCTTTCAAGTTTCAGGTTATTCTGTCCAGGCCTCACTGACTTCAAGGCACTTTACACTTGTCAGGTACAGAAACAATGATGGCCGTCTCAACAATCATTGGCAGAAGACCCACAAATGTGTGTGTTGACACCTGGACAAACAAAGCAAGGTAGTTTCCCTGTAAGACGCGTTTTTGCTTTTAAGTGGTTACACACAGCATTGATACCTGCAATGGACAAGAAGCTCCTTAAGGCTTGTATATGTGGCTTTTAGGGCAAAGTGTGCATTGGAAAAATGCATTCTGGAGGTAAAAAAGGAGGAAAGAGCAGTTCCTTTTAAAATAACTCACAGTACTGGTTTTGTGATCAACAGCAAAGCAAGGCTCTATTCATGTCCACAAACTATTATAAAATAGCCCTAGATGCATGCCAACTCTCTGAAGTCTGCCTAGGCCCTAGTGGCACTTGGGGTTCTAAGTTTTTGCTGACAGCTTCTTAATCAAGTTTTTGCAACAAAACCTCTCAGCTACATTAACGGGACAATCACTAAACTATAGGATTTCTACCAGCTGCCTAATTAAGCTAACCATCATTCTGTAAAGAGCAGTATGCTTCCTTGGTTGACACATCAGTAATTGAAAACTCTTTTCCTCTCCATGAAATACTTTTTGGATGATTAACTGATGACTAAATCAAAAAGTTTTAAAAATCACTCTTAGGAACACTGCTCGAATAAAATGGGGACTTAAATCTCCAAATTTCTGAATGTCAAAGTATAATCCAGTCAAGTCACAAGTTCATAATCACGTTAACATTCTGCCAGAAATTAAGATATTTGTTTTAACAAGGAGATTTATTCATAAGAATGGCTAACATGTGAGAATGATCGCAACTTATGGGTAAGAAAAGGCAGAATATAACCCATTTCATAAGTTTCAAAATTAGAGCAGATATATCAAGATATTAACAGTGTTGTATATGATTACATATCAAAAGGGCTAGTGGAAAAAAGTAAAGAGAGAGAGGCAGAGAGACGGAGGGAGTAAATCAATGTGGGAAAAAGCTGATGACTGGTGAAGCTAGGCAGAGTCTATGGGTAATCATTCTACAGTTCTTGCAAATTTTTTAAACATTTGAAAATGTTCCCCTTAAAATAACTCAATATAAAAAAACCAAGCTAAAACAACTTCACAGTGAATATTTATGGTTGTGACATGTGGCATTTTTATCCTTCCTTTGTTTTTCTCACATTAGTGATTTTTATGACAAACGTGCATCGTTTAACTAGACAAAAATAAGAGATTTTTTTAAAGACCAAGTTTTCTCTTCAGTAGACATTATCAGTTAAACTCGATTTCCCTGTTAACAACTTGATGTGGTGCCTCCATTTAATTTTCTCAAGGCTACACTTTTACAGACAAAGCAACGCTTATCTAAGAAACAGGGAAACAGCTCTGGGGCAGGCACTCTTTTCTTGCATTACCTTATTCCCCTCCACAGAAGTAGAGCACAGTAAATGAGGATAAATGGTCTCTTTAAGCACTCCTCCATCAGCAGGGTATATGCTTTTTGAAAGCCCACTGAATGGCAAAAATAAAAAAACGAAGTTTAGAACTTTGGGGTTCTTTATTCATGTTTTCCCCCTCCCACTTGGAAAAGCCGGATGGTACCATTCAAGTTTCTAAACTCTAGTTAGAAATTGTTGGGTTAATAATTACAAGTGACTTTTTGAAAACCCAGCACCAGCTGTACAAGTTATACATGGTTAATCTCATTCCTTCATCCCCTGCTGTTTTGCACAAAGGCTGAAGCCTACCAAGCCCAGAGTAAATCTTCTAGTGCCAAAGTTGTTTTGTTCTGGTTTTTGATCACGGGCAGCATGCAAGGATTTTTCCATAATAAACCTCCCAAAGTTCATTTTCTACCTGAATGTTTTGTATGCCGCTCCCATCTGAGCCCACCTGTTCAGCAGCTGATAGATGTAACTGTGACCATCTTCTGTCCAGATGAGGATTCTGTGAGCAGCCAGCACCTCTCCGCCGGCAAAGCACTGCCCGTTTCTACTAATTTCAGTCCAGAGAAGGGAAAAATCACAATAATCATAAACCTAAAATACAAGATTGACACCCATTAAAGAAAGCTAACCGTTGAATCCTTCTCTGAAGTAGAAGATAAAGCAGGCTTATTAAGACTTCTTAGATGGTGGTAATAATGCAGAAGAGCACACCGTATTACTAACATTTGTTCTTCAACATTCATTCGAAAGTACATTTTGGTAGATAATGTTTATCTTGTTGTTTCATTCCAGATATGCTCACTGAACAAAAAAAAAAATCAAAAGTTCAAAAAGTTCAAAATATAAGTTCATAAAAATTCTTGTATGTGTAGCTTAAGTTTAATATTTGAAAATTTATTATGCATAAAAATCTTAAATAGCCGAAGTTCTTTGTTTGACCATGTATTTTAAATTGTGGTTCAAAAACATATTATCACCATATAAGAAAGACAATGTATGGTTAGTAATAAACGAACTTTAAGAAATATTAAAAAAATTGATGTCAACTTGGCTTGCTTTCTTCTTAGAAACATCAGTTTATATACCCACAGGAAAAGAATGTGTATTCCTTATAAACAAATTCAGTGAAGAAACAGAAAAAAAAATCTACAAAAAAATCTACAAAAATCTACTTGTCACATGCAGGTGACAAGTACCAGTTTTCATTTTCATTTAAACGTGCAGGTACAAACTATAGAAAATAATTTAGAGATAAATGCTCATTATCATTACTATGGTTTGTTACTAATGAAATTAGGCATTCACACTACACATGTAACAGGAAGCAAAGCAGCTAAACTTAGGGAATTGAAAACATACCAACCTAATAGATAAGTCATTCCATGTTATAAAAAGTTCTCATATTTTAATCATTTTTTCATCAGAATTATACTGAACTAGAAAAAAAATTATACTTGAATATCAATATTTATTATGTTATTTTATTATACCTTCCAACATTTAGAAAACACCACCAGCAGAAGTCTCTCCGTATATGTGCAAAATCGTATTGTCTGACAGTTCAAGGAGTCAAGAAACTTGGATTCTTTTTCATAAACATCTTGCTTTTCCTTCAAAAGGAAAGAAAACATTTTAGCATTAATTCAAGGTTTATTAATAATAAATAACTTATTTAGGACTACGAAGAGACCTGCTCCACATACACCTGAGGTAAATCAACATTCGAAATTGGAAAATATCTGGGTAAACTCCTGAGTGTTTTTAAAGTTGCTTTGCAACAGTGTAAGCAGGAAATTCACCTGGATTCTTCATTTACTAAGCATTTGGGGAGCTATGCTGGATGCCCACAAAGTAAATATAAGGGTATATTACTGAATTATAGACATGGTAGAAAGATACAATCAAATATAAAGTATTTTTAAAATCCTTCAGGATATTAATAGCTGAAATTAAAACAAAAAAGGAACCAAGTGCTTTGAGAACACACAATAGATGACAGAGAAGACATAAGGTATGTACATTTTCAGGTCTTTCTGATACTATTGGGCTTGAATTTCTTGAGCTCATCAACCCAACATAATTCGCTGGCTTCCTCAACCCAGGAATTCCTAAGGAGACCCCCAAGCTCCATGGGCAGCCTCTCAATTTCATCACCAGCACACTGACGCTATTGCTGTTTTCTGTGTGTCACCTCGACTTACAGCCTGATGCCAGGAAGCAGGCGAATGTCCTGAACTCCCAGGGGATGGGACCCTTGGTGGTTCATAATCAGCTCTCCGCCACTGGTCACACTGACCCAGAAGGAAGGCGGCTTCTACTGGAAGGGACCCAGGGATCTTCTATGACTGTTTTTACTTAAAAACATAATTCTGTCTCTCTCTCTCTGTGTGTGTGTGTGTGTGTGTGTGTGTGTGTGTGTGTGTATGCCGTACATGTGTACAGAAAGGGTTGGAAGGATATATTCTAAGTGTTCCAATGTCAACCTTTGGGAAGACGGATGAGAGGAAGTAAATCAAAGTAAAATTTATACACCTTTCTACTTAAGCATTTAACTGTAAACATGCAATGTCGTCACAATTTAAATTTTTCAATAATTATGCTTGAAACTAGAGAAAAATGAGTAAAATTCCCGTGCCAACCTGAATGCTGTTGATAGATGAGGAGAGGTCCCACACCTTGAGCTCCCCAGTTACTGACACCACCAGGAGGGAATCTTCTGCAGAAAAACAAAGATCACAGGTGAGCTGCCCACTGGTATGATGGGAGGCTACAGGCACATATATGCGATTCATTTCATAATTAATGATTGTGCAGGGCTGTGTAGGTGGAAAATTCAACTTTGGGAATATGATGTGAAAACCCCATTTGTTTTAAGATTTCAAAGTGATCACCACATGTATAAGGACCTTTAAAATTCAAAACCACATTGCCCATCTTCATGTTGGTGGTATCAAACCTTCCTATTTCAGAAGTAAAGAGGCAGCTTTTTTTTTTTTTTCAGAAGTAAAGAGTCCTGTGTCATAGTCATATTGCAGAAACTGAATTCTCCTCACGACAACATTCAGAAGGTACAACAGGGTGAAAATTCTAAGAGCTCTTCTAATACATAACGAAAACCTGCCTGTCACATGTAAAATGTACCAAACAGATCTGGGGCATGGAGACACAAATTCTCCTCTTTCCACTACTCCATAACCTCTTGTTGACTTTCCAATACCTGGAACCACTGGTTTAAGTGCTCCTGGCTTTGCTCAATCTCACTGACAGAGCTATTCCCACGAAGAAGTAAATGTAAAGAATCATTTTTAACACTTATCCAGTAATTAAATAATTCAAAGGTCGAGCTTTTTATACGCAATCTCAGTGTTACACAATACCCAATTATTACCTTGGATTCTCATGGAGTGAACAATGCACATGCAGGTGACCCAATCTGGAGATTGAGATGATGTAAAAGTATGAACAACAGACAATGTTTTGGCATCAATTACAAGGATATCTTGATACTCTCCACAACACAGAAGCCAACCTTCTCCTGTCATCCGGAATGAGCAGTGGTAATACTATGTAAATGGAATTAAAAACAAAAGTTTAATTATGACTACCAACATAATTTGGGCAATGTTGAAGACCTCCCTGGATCTCAGTTTTAGCATCTGTTCAATTAAGATATTGAATTAACTAGTAACAAAAATTTCTATTATTTCATACCCCTGAAGTGTTAATGTTGCCTTTTAATCTCATTTATATTTGTCACTTTTCTAAAGAAAGGGAGATATTTTGAAAAGCAAAATGTTATTCCAAGTAATGCAACATGCTCAAGGACACTATTTTTCTTTCAGTATTTAGAACCAAATAACAACAAAAACCAGGTTTCCTATCCTGGAACACTGCTATGTGCTAAACAGAAACAAAAAGTATTTGAAAAGCACATGAATAGTTGCAGCAAATAAGTTTTGGCAATTTTGGCAATGGCATTTTAAAAAATATCAAGTGAGACAATCTGCCATTAAGGAGCTTCTCTCTCACGGTGCAAGATTTGGGTCCTAAAAGTACATAACAGAGTTTGTGAATGTTGAAATACAAAGCATTGGCACTAAAAGCGATGCAACACACACACACACACACACACACACACACACGTGTAAAACACTGTCAGCACCACTGAAATCATGCAACTACCTTACATGTGCTTGGGGTTCATCTGCCCAAAGTCAAAATCTGTTTTAAATATTGTGAAGTGATTATAAAGATAATGGCTATGCATCTTATTCTCTGTTCATAAATAAGCAATTCCTAAAGTAATAACATATCCAACAAAGAAATAGGTGAAAACTGGAAATGAGGGGAAACCTGTGCTTTATAAAATAGCATATCATTAAAATTGAATCTTTACAAGGATGTGTATTTTGTGAGTGCCTCTAGGGAAAATATCAAAATTGTCTTTCCAACATCTCTGTTATAGAGATACAGAAATGAAACAATCAGAAAAAATCTGCTTGAATATTACCTTTTGAGATAGAAAAAAGTCAGAGGAGATGATTACTGATGATATCCTACTCTCGCGTCAAGTGAACATTCTAGAAAAGAGTGGTATCCAAAGATATGTCTTTAAATGTGTATATGGCAGATGGCCTAAAGGCGGTTGAGGATCCAGAAATATTCTGAAGGAAGCGAGGGTACTTACACAGATGGCAGTGTGCCTGTAAGGAAGTGTGGCCTTCTCCACGCACTGTCCCTTGGTGACATTCCAAACACACATCTCCCTAGCAGAGATAACTTGGTATTATTCTCTGTCATTTCCACTCAATTGGCTGGAATAATTTTTGTGAGAACAAGTTCTTCTTTAGTGCTGCACTTAAGTGCAACCTGATCGTTTGTGTGGATTTTTGTTACAGATTACTGGGCAAGAAAATGTTGTAGTCATTAGCAGGGTTGACATACTGTATCTGTGTCTTTTTGTTTGGGTAATTACACCCTGCCACCAGCCTGCAAACCTCACTTTAGGGCCAACCTAGCCTACAGCAAACAGTGGAGAAACAGCTATCACAGCCCATTAAAATGACAGTACAACAACCTTTTCATGGAAACTGCGTGCTCTTGAAAATGGCTTATTTCACTGAACTTAAACTACGTATTCTGAAAAGTATAATGGATCAAGTGCTTCCTCTTCTAGATACATTTTTGAGAAAACAAACAGTGCCACCAAGAGGCTGCATCTGGTCTAGCAGTGATTTGCTTGGTTTCTTGTCTTCCTGAAATCATCCTTGCCACTTAATATTTTAAAAATGCTCGTGGTTTAGAAAACTCCTACTTGGAAACACGTATATTAAAAAGACATAGGGGCCGGCACCACGGCTCACTAGGCTAATCCTCCACCTGCAGCGCCGGCACACCAGGTTCTAGTCCCAGTCGGGGAAACCAGATTCTGTCCCGGTTGCCCCTCTTCCAGGCCAGCTCTCTGCTGTGGCCCGGGAGAACAGTGGAGGATGGCCCAAGTGCTTGGGCCCTGCACCCCATGGGAGACCAGGAGAAGCACCTGGCTTCTGCCTTCGGATCAGCACGATGTGCCGGCCGCAGCGCACCAGCCACAGCGGCCATTGGAGGGTGAACCAATGGCAAAAGGAAGACCTTTCTCTCTCTCTCTCTCACTGTCCACTCTACCTGTCAAAAAAATTAAAAAATAAAATACAAAAAGACATAGATGCATTTATAAAACCTACTTACAAAATATACCAGTGTAGGATAGTCTAAATCTGTATGATTTTTGTTCACAAAAACTATCATGACTGTTTCAGAAATGCTGGGTGATACTCTTTAGTTCTGAGAGTTTCAACACATAAATTAAATCTTCCAAAGGAAAAAAAAATGAAAGGTTTACAAGAATTAAGGGAAACATTGCCATAAAGAACCAAAAAGACATGGGTGAATAACACAAAGTAGTATTCGGTACTGTTTGTGTTTCATAATTTGCGAAGTTTTATTTTTTCCTCACTAAATACTAGAAACTCAATCTTCTAAATCATTGTTTCTTAAGCGAGAGTGATTTTTGTTCCCTCTCCGCACAGCCCAGGGACATTCAGCAGTGTCCAGAGAGAGCTTTGGTTGTCACCATGAAGAACACACTACTGGCATCTAGTGGTGAGAAGCTGGGGATGCTCCCGACCATGCCACAAAGCACAGAGCCATCCCTGGCAACAGAGTCATCCAACTCCAAGTACTGTTAGAACACAGGTGGGGAAACCGTGTTCTAGATACAGAAACAAAATAGAGTACTTTCCTCTATTTATAGACGACCTTATGCTGAACAGGATTTCGGTTAACCTGAAAAGGCATATGACTATAATAGCAGGGTGTGTGTGTATGTGTGTGTGTAGTAAAAAATTAGAGAGAAAGCACAAAAACTGAAATACGATATCTTCAAGGTAAAAACTAGTAATACATCCTGAGGGCAAACAAATCTCAAAGGTAAAGAAAGTGAACCTTAAGCAACCAACAATATAAAATTTTGTCTCTATGAGGGATTTGAGTATACACTTATGGTTTTCAACTCTAGTTCTACAATACAAAAATATCATAAACCAAAAATTAACCCTTTTGTTATCAACTATTTTAAAGTGAAGTCTACAGTTTTAAAACAGCACCGATGGTGGGCATTTGGCCTAGTGGTTAAGTTGCGAGTCTGTAGTCCATATCCAAACGTTCAACACCTGGATCTGGGGTTCCTGACTCCATCTTCCTGCTTATGCAAACCTTGGGAGGCCGCAGTGGTGGCTCAAGTTCCTGCACCCACATAGAAGATCTAGATTGAGTTTCCAGCTCCTAGAATTGGCTTTGGCCCACTCCCAGTCATTGTGGGCACTTGAGGAAGAAACCAACAGATGGGAGCTCTCTGTATCCCTCTCACTGCCTTTTGGACGGACGGACGGATGGATGGATGGGTGGATAGACAGATAGATAGATGTATAGTTAGACAGTTACATTGACACAAGTTACATTCTTAACAAGACATGAAATTAACTACTAAAATGCCTATTATTTTTATTTTTAAATAATGCTCCAAAGTTTGTCTATAGATTAAAGCACATTCAATTATGAAAAAGCAAATTTAACAATTTCCAAAGTTTTTCCATTTTCATTTAGCCCGCAGGTGTTGTATTTGCCACTCCCAATGCGGTTTCTGGAAGAGTGTATCAGCATTGTCTCGGAGTGTATTAGAAACGAAGTTTAGACCCCAGCGTGGCCTTCCGGATCTGTGATGCCAGGAGTGAGGCTCCAGATCTCTGCTTAAACAAGCTTTGCAGGTGATTCTGCTGAACACCCATGTGTGAGGAGCGCGGTGCCACAGACCTCTGAGTCTGCGTGGTGTCTTGCCTTTCTGGCCTTAGCTATTGCTGGTGAATACAATTCTTTATTAATGGGCAGTAATCCTTTCTATCAGCCAAGTCTGCCTGCCTTAAAGTTTTATTAACTTATTTATATAAATATGAATACAGCTATATTAACCTTATCATGATTAGTATTCATCTTACAAATCCTTTTCCCTCCTTTTAACTTTATAGTGTTTTAATTTTTCTGACAATATAACTGGAGGACTTAGTCCTAGTATGTAAATGATATTAGCATTTTATTCAGGTTGGTTTCACTATCTTATTTTGTGCTATTTGTCTTACTTTTTCTTTGACTTTTTTTGAATTAAACAACTCTTTACTCTTTTTTAGATCAGAGTTATATACTCTATTTTTGTTACTTTTATTTTTTTTTTCCTTGTAGCAGAAGCCCTGGAAATGTTGACATGTGCATATAATGTAAAATGTAAAGTTAATGAACACTTTTATCTGCCTCTGAAACACTAGGCAGGTGGAGTATGAGCATTGCACAATTATACACTAATGCTGACTAGGAGTATGTGTACGTGTATGGGAAGTGTATTATAAAGACTTTCTTTTATAGTTCACGGTTGTTCATTTGTTTGAGATGCAGAGAGAAAGAGAAACAGGTGGGACAGAGACAAGAGCTTCCACCCACTGGTTCACTCCCCAAATGTCTGCCACAGCCAGGGTTGTGCCAGGCCAAAGGCATCACCCAGGAATGAAATCCACATCTCCCATGCAGGTAACAGGGTCCAAACCACTTGAGCCATCACCTGCTGCTTCCCAGGGGTGCAGTGGGCATGAAACTTGAACTTAAAGCAAAAATCCAATTCAGGCACTGATGTGGGACACAGTGTCAACCACCAGGCCAAACACTGCCCCATAATATTCATTGAAAATTTTCTAAAAATGCTGGCTCTGACATTCTATTTTCCATCGCAGGTCTCCCTCCTGAAAGCATTATTCTGGTAAATACATTTAAAATTTTTCTCTTTATAGAAGGTCTGTGGGTTGAGAGCACTTACAGTACTTGTCTTATACTTTCTTATTTTGTTATAATTTTTCAAGGATTTTTTGTTGGGCATGTAAGTGTAAATTGACTATTATTTTCACTCCAGTTTCTGATGCTGCTTACTATTTTCTAGTCTTCACTTCAATGTGGGAAAGTAAGCTCTCAGCTTAACTAACATTCCTTTGTAAATGATGTGTGCTTTCTTCCTGGTTCCTTTCAGGATATTTCTCTTTGCTTCAGCATCAGGTCTCTAGCTGCTGTTGGGTGTTTTTTTTTGTTTGTTTTTGTTTTTTTCCATTATCCTGAATTCACAGAGATTCCAGAATTCCTGAGGATACATTCCTGTAAATGAAATCATACTTTGGAAATGTATGAAGCAACTCTGGGCCCCCCTCCGATTTTCTTGGAGGCATTCTAAGAACAGTCACTTGCTAGGACTTATTGAAGCTAAAAAAATCACAGCTGTTTGAGGCAGAATGGGGCAAGCCTACTAAGGATAACAACTTTTAGTGGATTAAGGTAGGATTTAATAAGTACATGGTCACCAGTATACAAGCGCTGTCTACAAATATCTTAGAGATGCAGGATGAGCTTTTGTGGATACTGAAGAACAGAGTTTTAGAAAACTCAAACTGTCCTGACAAAGTACGATGACTACTCAGACTAACCCAGACCCCTTGCATTCTTTGACAAACATAACACAGGCTTCACAGAGCTGAAGTCATCTATCCTCTGGAGCCCATTTATTAACCTTTCTTTTTTGGACCTAGACCACAGTGGACAAAAACCTCAAGTGAGAAATCACTAACTTTTCATATCAACTTATCATTTACCTACATTTTTCCCAAGTTTCCAAGTTGTACCAGAAAAAAAATTTCACAAATGCTCTAGAATGATAATAACTATCTTGGCATGTGTTACAGGCAGGCTTTGTAGCAACCTTTATGTGTGAATGTTAAAGAATGTACCAAGCCACATCACTTCAGACTTCTTTGTAGTTCTCACTAACAGTAAGTTATTACTTTACCATAAGCTATTAGAACAGGTACCTCTACTAGCATTTTGTTTATACAGGTTGGACATTTGATTCCTTATTGTTCTTTTGGTTCTTGTAAATCAGAGGCATAGACTTTCTCTCTTGGTTAAAACCAAAGCAGGAAGTTCTCTTATTTCAGCCAGTAACCCAATGCCTCATTCCCAAGAGCATGCTGAATTGATTCTGCATTCCCAAGTATACTGTGGAAAATAACTCATCAACAGAGTTAAGTTCTTAGTAGCTTTTCTGTCAGTGGGGCTTTTTCCTATAGCTATGTCCTATTTTACTGGAACAAGCCTTGCTTCTAATGAAACTATACCCAAATCATAGGATATGTTCCATTCCCTTCTCACTCCCAACCTTCAAATGAAAACCGAGTCTTCTTGCAACTCATGTCAAGAGCCTCGGGTGGTCACTGACATCATACATAAGAGTGATAATTGTTAAATTAACAGCAGGAGTCATTGTGCACTAACTTCCCATGCAGGACCTCTGTCCTAAATGAGTTGTACTATGAGATTCAACTGTAAAATTCTGTTCAACAGTATCCTGGTTTTTATATTTATATAAAGTTTTTTATATTTAGTGTGTGCATGTATGCAAATAGTTGAAATATTTACCTAGTATAGAGTTGCTCTGTGTTCAGAACAAAATTCATTAAAAATGAATATTAATGGAGAATGGGACTGGGAATGGGAGAAGGAGGAGGCAAAGGGGAAGGAGTGGGGGTGGGAGGTGGGTATGGTGGGAAGAATCACTGTATTCCTAAAGATGTACTTATGAAATTTATATGCAGTAAATAAAAGATTTCTGAAAAAAAAAAAGAAAATTGAGTTCTCTCCTGAGTTTTATGATAGCATCAGACAAAGGTACAAGATTGTAACTACTGAATGTTTTGAATGATTTAATGGCTTTAAGAATCCAGAGTCGGCCAGCGCTGCAGCTCAATAGGCTAATCCTCCACCTAGTGGCGCCGGCACACTGAGTTCTAGTCCCGGTCAGGGCGCAGGATTCTGTCCGGTTGCCCCTCTTCCAGGCTAGCTCTCTGCTGTGGCCCGGGAGGGCAGTGGAGGATGGCCCAAGTGCTTGGGCCCTGCACCCCATGGGAGACCAGGAGAAGCACCTGGCCCCTGGCTTTGGATCAGTGCGGTGCGCCGGCCGCAGCGGCCATTGGAAGGTGAACCAATGGCAAAAGGAAGACCTTTCTCTCTGTCTCTCTCTCTCTCACTATCCACTGTGCCTGTAAAAAAAAAAAAAAAAAAAAAAAAAATTGAGAATTTCTGCATGAAGCAATTTAAGCCCCTGTACTTTTTATTTCCAATTCTATTATACTTTGCATTTTCCACTATCTTTCGCACAGTAAGGCTACCAGAAGTTCTGTTAAGTACTTGACAAATGTTCATCTTAGTCCCACCACAATAAAGAGTATTGTATTAGACTGGAAGTCCCAATGCTAAATACATTCCTCATGGCCATCACACAATCTCCTCAATGGCCTACGATAAATCTTCATGTATATTAAGATGAACCTGTGGTTCACAAAGGTTTCCTTCTGCTCCCAGATTGTACCCCATCATATTTTTTTTTATTTGACAGGCAGAGTTACAGACAGTGAACGAGAGAGACAGAGAGAAAGGTCTTCCTTCTGTTGGTTCACCCCCCAAAGGGCCGTTATGGCCGGAGCTGCACCAATCCAAAGCCAGGAGCCAGGTGCTTCTTCCTGTTCTCCCATGCGGGTGCAGGGGCCCACGCACTTGAGCCATCCTCCACTGCCCTCCCGGGCCACAGCAGAGAGCTGGCCTGGAAGAGGAGCAGCCGGGACTAGAACCTGGTGCCCATATGGGATGCCGGTGCTGCAGGTGGAGGATTAACCAAGTGAGCCATGGCACCGCCCCCCACCCCGTCATAGTTTTTAAAAAGGGAGAGCACACAAAGCTCCCCACCTTACCTACCCATTTTCTGCAGCACTGACAACATAGGGCTGTTTAGAGAAGTCTCTTGCCCTTGCCAAACACGTGACTGAAGCCGAATGACCAAACAGGAGTTCTTTAGCTGAAATCTGAAATTGAGAATAAAGCTTTTGAGCAACTATGAACTCTGAAAAATAAAAACATCAAACTATATAGAATTTATAATGCTGATTAGGGAATTCATTTATGCTTTTTTTCTTCTGGGTATAAGTTTCAGGAAAACTAGGATATGGATTTCAAAATCAACAGAATACTAAACCTCTATGTAAAGGAACTGTGTTGTACACAATTTTTGTTGACTTTGGTTTTGTATCCATCATAAAACCTGGAAGATCGTCAGACCTGTTTTACAACACCTAAGTTTTGAACACAAATAAGTCAGTGCTGATGTTTGTAAGGTACAAAATGTCCCCCAAATGATAGCATATTAATGAGCAGATTTCACCATTCATAGTCAGTTTACAAAACAACACAGGAGAGCACACTACTCTTTGTGTAACCACTATAGTACTTGTATCTTATTTGGCATTGGGAATGTAAATTGGTACAGCCATTATGGAAAACATAATGGAGGTTCTGCAAAAAGTTAAAATAGAACTAGCATTTGGCTCTGCAATCCCATGGTATATCTATCCAAAAATAAAATTAGTATGACAAAGAAGTAGCTGAAGCTCCTTGTTCGCAGTATTATTCACAATAGCCAAGACACAGGAATTACCTAAGTGTTCTTCAGAGGATGAGTGGATCAAGAATGTATGGCATAGGGATATGTATTTGTACACCCATACACACACACATAGTGAGGTGTTGCTCGACCATTATAAAAGAAATCCTGCCTATTTTTAACAATTTGAATGAACCTAGAAGACATAATGCTAAATTAAATGATCCAGTCATATAAAGGCAAATATTCTGTTATCTTACTTGCATGTGGAACCTATACAAGTCAAAGTTGATGGCAGCATGGTGGCCTTCTGTAATGCTGGCACCCCATAAGGGTGCCAGTTAGTGTCCTGGATGTTCTACTTCTGATCCAGCTCCCTGCTAATGGACTGAGAAAGCTGCGGAAGATGGCCCAACTATTTACACTTCTGCCACCCATGTGGGAGACCTAGATGGAGTTCCTGGCTCCTGGCTTTGGTCTGGTTCAGCCCTGGCCATTGAAGCCATTTGGGGAGTAAACCAGTAGATTGAATACCCCTCTCTCTCTAACACTGCCTTTCAAAAAATAAATTAAAAAAAAAAAAGCAAAAGTCAGAACTAGAGAATGGAAAGCAGTTGCTAGGGTCTAAGGGTAAGTGAAGACTAGGGAGATGTTAGTCAAAGGGCACCAACTTTGAGTAATAAGGTAAGTAAGTTTGGGAACTGTATCAACATGGTAACTAAAGTTCATAACAGAACACTGTATACTTGAAGTTTGCTGAGATCTTATGTGTTCCCAGCACAACAATGTACTTGCAACTATGGATAAGTTAATCAGCTTGATGGTGGTGATCATTTTCAATGAATCTATCAAGTCATCACAAGGTATACCTTAAATATATCCAATTATTTTTGTCAATTATACCTCAATATACCTAAATAAAGCTGGGAGAAAAAGCACTGAGATTCTGTTACTCCTTGGCCAACTATCAATGCTCATAACATAGGGAATGTTATATGTTTGAATTTTTCTAAATTATAGATATTGCCTAAAGTTTCTACAATAAACACGTTCCCCAGTTATATAAAAATATTTAAAAATATTAGAAAAGCCATGAACTGGGAGAAATATTTGCAAAACATTTATCTAATAAAAGAGCATTATCAAAAATATACAAAGAGAAGTGGGCATTTGACACAGCAGTTAAGATGCTGCTTAGGACACTCACACCCCATATCAGAGTGCCTGGGTTCAAGTCCTGGCTCTACTTCTTTTTAAAGAGAGATTTTATTTATTTGAAAGTCAAAGTTAGAGAAAGATGGAGAAATGAGAGAGAGAGAGAGAGAGAGAGAGAGAATGTCCCATCCACCAATTCACTCCCCAAATGGCTGCAACAGCTGAGGCTGGGCCAGGCAGAAGCCAGGACTTTCTTCCTGGTCTCCCGCCTGGGTGCATAGGCCCAAGCACTTGGGCCTTACTCCACTGCTTTCCCAATCACACTAGCAGGGAGCTAGATCAGAAGTGGAGCAGTCGGGACATGAACCAGCACCCATATGGGATACCAGTGTTGCAGGTTGCAACTTTATCCATTATGCAACAATGCAAGTCCCCCAATTCCACTTCTGACCTCAGTTTCCTGCTTAGGTGCACCCTGGGAGGCAGTAAGTGATGTTTCAAGTAGGTGGGTCCCTGCCATCCTTACGAAGACTACAGTGAGAGTTGGACTCCCGGTTTTGGCCTGGCACAGCCCTGATGGTTGAAGACATTTGAAGAGTTAAAAAATCTGATTTTTTTAGACGATTAAAAAATAGTCAAAAGTACACATCTCAAAGAAGACCCACAGGAGACAAATGAATATTTAAAAAGATATACCAGCAGTGGGTGTTTTGCACAATGGTTAAGATACTACTTGTGGGAGTTGGTGCTGTGGCATAGCAGGTAAAGCCGTCACCTACAGTGCTGGCATCCCATATGGGTGCCAGTTTGAGTCCCATCTGCTCCACCTTCCAATCCTACTCTGTTGTAACCTAGGAAAGCAGTAGAAGATGGCCCAAGTCCTTGGGCCCCTGCACCCACATAGGAGACCCGGAAGAATCACCTGGCTCCTAGCTTTGGATCAACCCAGCTCCAGCCATTGAGGCCACTTGGGGAGTAGACCAGCTGATGGAAGACCTCTCCCTCTCTCTCAGCCTCTCAAATGAATAAATCAATCTTTTTTTTAATTTTTAAAGCTACTAGTTGTGATGCCTGGATCAGATATCAGAATACCTGGTTCAAGTTCAGGCTCCTGCACTCCCAAGCCAGCTTCCTGTGAATGTATACTGTGGGGGGCAGCAGATGAATCTGACTGAGCTGAATGACTTGTTGTCTGCCACCCATATGAGAGACCCAGACCGAGTTCCATGGTCCTGGCTTTGGCTCCATGCTCCTGACCCTACCCTGTCTGTTAATGCATTTTGGGGAGTGAACCAGCAGACCAAATCTCTCCTCTCTGTCTCTGCATCTTAAATTACTTAATTAACTAATTAATTTTACAAGAGAAAACAGATACTCCACATTATATATCATAGGGAATACAAATGAAAACAACCAGATATCACTAATAGATATCATCTATTAGGAAGGCTAAAATCTAAAATACTGACAAACACAATACTGGCAAAGACAGAGTAGCAAAAGAAACTCTGATCAATCGCTTGTGGGAATGCAAAATGCCACTTTTGAAGAAAGTTTGGCAGTTTCTTGCAAAACTATACTCTTCCCAAACAATCCAATAACTGTGGTCATTAGTATGTGCCCAAATGAGTAGAAAATTGTGTCTACACAAAAATCTGCACAAAGATGTTTACAGTAGCTTTACCCATAATTGACAAGACATGGGTATAATCAGTATGTCCTCCAGTAGACAGAGAAATAAATTACAGAACATGAATACAATGAAATATTACTCAATACTAAAAAAAATGAGCTATTAAGTCATGAGAAGACATGAAGAAACCTCCCATGCAAATCACAATGCGAAGGAAGCCAATGTGAAAAGGCTATCGGCCATATGATTCCAAATATATAATATTCTGCAAAAGGCAAGACAATGGAGATGATAAAAAGATACATGGCAGTCATGCATTAGGGGGCAGTGGGAGATAAGTAGGTGGTACACACAGGCCTTTCAGGGCAGTGAAACTATTCCATAAGATGCTATGATGGTGGATACATGAAATTATACATTTGTCAAAACTCCAAGTTTGCAACATGCAGAATGAACCAATTCTGACATAAACTATGGACTGCGTGATAATGGTGTATAGGTTCACTGACTGCAACAAATACACCACTCTCGTGTGGGATATTGATGAAGGAGGTGAGGGCAGAAGCACACGGGAACTATCTATTATCTTCTACTCAGTTTTATTGTAAACCTAAAATTCCTTTTTAAAAATAAAGTCTTTTGGGGCTGGCACTGTGGAGTAGTAGGTTAAACCTCTGCCTATGGTACTGGCATCCCATATGGTGCCAGTTCGTGTCCTGTCTGCTCCACTTCTGATCCTAAGCTCTCAGCTAAGGCCTGGGAAAGCAGCAGAAGATGGCCCAAGTGCTTGGGTCCCTGTACCCACATGGGAGACTGGGAGGAAGAGCCCAACTCTTGGCTTCTGCCTGGCCCAGCCTTGGCCATTGCGGCCATTTGGAGAGTGATAGAAGATATCTTATTCCCTGTCTCTTCCTGTCTCTGTATAACTTTGACTTTCAAATAAATAAATCTTTAAAAAAAATAAAGTCCTTTTAAATACTCATTTGACTTCCTGCCTCAGAAAGAATAAAAACAACATTTCTACATCAAAAACAACATTTTAACTGAATGTATATTTAAAATACCAGTATTTTTCTCTGGCAAGAGAATTTTTTTTAAAAAATGACACACCAAGGATTAATTCTTTCATTACCTCATGTGTGAAAGAGATATATTTATCATTATTTGGTAAAACCAAAATATGAAAAACCTAAAAACAGCAAACGTATAAAGACATTTTTTAAATGGAGGAGGAGTTGATAATAAACTAAGTAACTCATTTGAATGGCTATAAAATCTTATGGCTGATAAAATTCTTTTTTCCCCAAAGAGTTAATATCCACTCCTTTTTTTCTGACCTATACAAACATATCTATAGATGATTACACAGCCATATCAACAATGACAAATTATTTCATGATATAACACATGATATAAACCTTTCTTTAGAAGATCCCCCAGGAGGACCAAAACAGGAATTTGCAGTTGAGTAGAATCACCTTCATTCCAAGTCCCAATACTTTTTTTAAAAAAGATTTATTTATTTGAAAGTCAGAGTTACACAGAGAGAAAAGGAGAGACAAAGAGACAGAGACAGAGTGACTGAGAGACAGAGAGAGAGAGAGAGGTCTTCCATCCACTAGTTCACTCCCCAATTGGCCACAATGGCCAGAGCTCTGCTGATCTGAAGCCAGGAGCTTCCTCCCGGTCTCCCATACAGGTGCAGGAACCCAAGCACTTGGGCTACCTTGTACTGCTTTCCCAAGCCGGGACTTGAACCGGTGCCCATATAGGATGCCAGCACTCCAGATACGGAAGGAGTCCTTGACTGTCCCTTTCCCTTTCCCCTACAAATGGTTGGTGTCTAAGTTCTATGCACTCCCCCTACTGCTTATCCTGCCAGTTTTTATCTCCTCTGCATCTCACTGCCATCTATTCCTCTCATACTCAAAGATTTTCGTGACTCAGTTACTCTAAGAAGCCCCTTACCCACAGTCCAGTCCTTGAGCTCATTTCTGCATGCCACCCAAAATATTCCTCCTACATTCCTAGCAAGTGAAATTCTAATAGTGCTATGTCATCTCAAATAAAGCATCTTCCAAAGCCCTCAATATCACCACTGCTTTTAATTAGAATGTTCTTGTTAGTTTCTTCTAGTTAAAAAAAGATCTTCATCCCTGAGCATGTCAGGTGCTGCACTGGGCTGTTCCATCATTGCCAAGTGTGACTACCACCTCTAATTTACTCTCTGCCATCCAGCTCTACTTAATCATTTTGACTGGAGCCCCAAAGGCAAAATGCTCATACCTTTTACCCACAATTGTTCTTCTGCCTGTAATCTGCCTCACCTTCAACTCCTGGGCATCCTGTACAAACCAGCTCAAACTGAGTATCTCCCTCCAAAACCACAACATGTCACTTCACTCCCATCAGGCTAGCTAGCTATCAACTACAAAACAAAACAAAACAAAAACACAAAAATTAACAAGCATGGGTGAGGAAGATTTTTTTTTTTACAACTGTTAGGCACTGTGGGTGTGGATGTAAAATAGAGGGTGCAGCCACTGTGAAGGCTCCTCAAAAAATTCAAAATACAATTAATATACATGCTAACAATTCCACTTCTGGGCAGAGGCCCCAAACCATTGAAAGCAGAAATGTGAACAGATATTCACACACTCATGTACTTAGCAGTATTATTCACAACCACCAAAAGGGGACAGCAACAAATGCATGGATAAACAAAATGAGGCAGACATATACAACTTTACAAAAGAAGGGAATACTATCACATTCTACAACATGGATAAACTATGCATTAAGCACATCACAACATCAAAACACTGGATGATTCCATCCTATGAGGCTTTAGTCAAATTCATTGAGACAAAGCATCATGATTCTTTCCAACTTCCTAGTTACAAGTCTGTACTGTACCATCAGATTAAACTTGAAGGAGGGGCCTGTGCCCAGAATATAAAGCATGTAAGTATCCCTGGGTTTGTTTCTCTACTCTACACAGTGGCAAGTGTAACACCACAAAACCTGATGGATTCTCTTGCCTGTTCATCACAAAGAGGAAAGAAATCAGTCTCCATACTCATTACATCCCCTCTCCACCTCGACCTTCTCTGCTTCTACCATCCTCTCCTTGAAATGCCCCTGGCTCCAAGCTGCTCTGCAATGACCAGGTTACCCATGGGTGACATCCTTTTTACATTCTCTCATATCCTCAAGACCTTCCTTCCCTCCCTACCCAAATCATTTCTTTATGTGTACATTTTAAACAAAAGTCAAACAACCAAATATCAAAATATTAATGACAGCCCTACAGGTAGCAAAAGGTTTTAGTGAGAACAAAAAAGTGACCTTGATTTTTGCAAAGCCCAGAATTTTCTCTGCTACTAACTGATTAGTTATCATGTATGGGCGGGATTCATGGGATAATAAGTTGTTCATTCATTCTGTCCCTATGGTTAGCTCTAGAAAACTTTAAGGAAAACCTTCAGGCGGAGTGTCTCACATTTGTATAAGTCAACATCTAATTCCTTTTATTAACTGTTTATAATATCCACATAGTGAATTTACAAAACACAAAACGGATCCATCCCAACTTCAGTCTCCTCACTGGCTCTCCATGACTGGAGGATCCAGTAAACTCCTTTCCTTCTCATTCAACCTTCTCTCCGCCCAGGTCCCCATCTTCCCTTCCAGCATTCTCACTCCCTGATAAGACGGATCCTCATGTTCCTTGGAGCACAGACTGAGTCCTTACAGAGGACAACCTTGTTTCTTCCACCTCTGCTGCTCTGATTCCAAATCCAACCCCATATCCCTAAACCAAGATTCCTCAGTATTTGCACTATTAGCATTGTTGTGGACATTTTCTTTAATTGTGGAGGATGTAATATTCCCTATAGTATGTTGCCAGTGTCCCTGGCCTCTCCTCACTAGATGCCACAAGCATCTCTTCTTCCTCCCTTCGATAGTGACAACCCAAAATGTCTGCAGATACGGCCAAATGCCTCTTGGGAGGCAACACTGTCCCATTTTAGGAAGCATTACTCTAACCCCAAGCAGATTAGCTCCTAGGCAAGCATGCCATTACGTTCCCACTGAAAATGCAGTATAGACCATCCTGTACTTAGAGTATCTGGTTTTATAATATAACTGTGTCACACTAGCCTATGGCCTTCCTCTACTACACTGCAACTTCCAGGGCAGCCAGCACTGAGTCTTTTCAATTACGTCTGAACTCACGTGTGAGTACCTAGCATGCTGATTATCTTATAATATTCATCCAACCAGTATAAAATGAACAAATGCTGAATAAATACAAGGAACATATTTTTAAACGATCCAGGTTTTAGGATTCCAAACCTCTTAACAGGATCTACATATAATGCGATAACTATTCCAGCCAGGAAATTATGCATTTCAACATCAAAGGAACAGCAAGACACATAACGCCATTCCAATGTCTGGATTTCAATGGTAACAACGAATGTCATTTTGAAGGCATAATCTTAGGTTAGTGCCCATTCTTTCTTTCACAGATGGTCACAAGCATGGAGCTGACCTGCTCTGCTGTGCAATTCTTGGCAGGCCTATAGCAGAACTGTTCAGTGATGGGAGATGTTAATTAATTACACCATAAAATAGAATTACAATTAATTGTTAATTTAGGTTTTAAAGTGACAAACGTTAAAGGCTAAAAATAGTCTTTGATCTTTAAAAGGCTTCTTAATGAGGGCACTATTCTTTAAGTACATCATTAGTTTAAATGTGCAAATTGGGTCTAGAGACTGCCAGAGTTAAGCAAATATCTACTCCAATATGTTAAATGTTTATGACTTGGGACAAGGACAATTAATTGCTAATCAATGGGCCAAATCCTAGGTGAGGTCAGGTTCTGAAATAGGGGGATGACAATAGTAAATTGGATTTAGACCATTTTGATTCAATCCGTAAAATTCCCAGTCAAGTGGAGAGTAAGAGACTAGCGCGAAGGCCACACCAGTTGAAATACCCAGATAGTTAAGATATTACTCATTTAGGTAATAGTGGTTTTCAAGGGTGCCCTTTGTTTAGATTAATGAGCCATAATTTTTAGAATTATACTTACATGTCTGTAGTTCAGTTACTTACACATATAATTCAGGAAATAAAATAGTAAAACTCAGCATAGTTTGAAGGGTAATAACACTTAGCTGGGAACTAAGATTAGCAATATTCATAATCTAATTTTCAAGTATGGTCTTGATCCATCAAACAATCCTTAGTTTTCTCTGAACACAAAAGTAAAACCAACACATTACTTAAGTAAGCATCTAACAGCCAGGCAAGCCTTGCCCCGTCACCGCAGGTAGAAGCAAGCTGTCCCTACTTTGTGAGTGTGGTCGGTTGGTCAAGAGCTTCACCAACCTTGAGTTCAGGCGAGAGGTTCCAGAGACAGAGCTGCCCCTCTTGACTTCCGGTCACAACCATCTGCTGGTTATCGGTCATCATGATGGTGGTGATACTGTGGGGAGGAGCTTTCTTGCCCCAGAGGGCCACTGCCTGCACAGAAGTCCTCATGTTGTGAGAATCCTGCACACAAACAAGAGGGAAGATGTGTACACAGTCATCTTTATACATCTGGGGGAACTGATCCAGTTATAAAGTGGATTTACAGTGGCACAAGCTTGACTGACATGTTCTCCAGGGCTGACGTAAGGGCGCTTCCCCATCAACTACAGAAGAAGGTAGTCGGTAGACATTAACATGACTATGACTGTAGTAAATCAAAGAGTAACTTCTCTTCCAATTCTTGATTCCTGATGCCAATGAACAGCAACAATCTACTCACTCCACACCCTGATCTTACAATGGTTTGATCCCAGCCTGCCTCAAAGCCCAGCTACTCCACTCAAGAACAGAGCTTTCTACATCATAAAATATGCACACACTCTCTCCCTAGAAATGTCATTTCATCTAGGTAACCAACACTTGAAATCTGTTATTAAATACAATCTTTTCCATGAAATAGTGGGTTCTACTCTTTAAGAATTGATGTACAAGTGACTGTCATTTCTGTGACATTCATTTTTTTAAAGATTTATTTATTTGAAAGGTAGAGTTACAGAGAGGCAGAGACAGTGGTAGAGAGGTCTTCCATCCACTGGTTCACTCCCCAGATAGCCACAAAGGTCAGGGTTGTGCCAGGCCAAAGCTAGGAGCCAGGAGCTTCTTCCAGGTCCCCCAAGTGGGTTCAGGGGCCCAAGAACTTGGGCCATCTTCTACTGCTTTCCCAGGCACATTAGCAGAGGGCTGGAATGGAAGTGAAGCAGCTGGGACTCAAACTGGTGCCCATATGGGATGCCGGCACTGCAGGCGGCAGCTTTACCCTTTATGCCACAGTATTGGCCCCCAGATTCATATTTACCTATACTACATTTAATAAAAATTTGTATGTGACTATTTTTTAAAGAGTTATTTATTCTTACTTATTTGATAGGCAGAGTGACAGATGGAGAGACAGTGATCTTCCATCTACTGGTTCATTCCTCAAATGACCACACATACCAGGTCTGTGATAGGCTCAAGCCAGGGGCATGCAGCTTCATTCAGGTCTATCATATGGGTGCTAGATGGCCATGTACTCGGGCCATCTTCTCCTGCCTTCCCAGGCTAGGCTCAATAGAAGGAAGGTGGATCAGAAGCAGAGCAGGGGGCCAGTGTTGCAGCATAGCAGGTTAAGCCTCTGCCTGCAACACAGGCTTCCCATATGGGCACCTGTTCAAGATTTGGCTACTCCACTTCTAATCCAGCTCCCTGCAAATGTGCATGGAAAAGTGGTGAAACATGATCTAAGTGCTCAGGCCCCTACACCCATGTGACAGATACAGAAAGGGTTCCAGGCTCTTGGATTCGTCTGGCTCAGTCCCAGCCATTGCAGCCATTTGGGGAGCAAACCAAGACATAGAAGATCAATCTCTCTCTCTAAGTCTGCCTTTCAAATAAATTTTTAAAAAAGTCCTAAACAAAAAAAAAAAAAGCAGCAGCAGAGCATGTAGGACTCCGACTGGCACTCACATAGGGGATGCTGGTGTCACAAGTGGTAGTTTAATCCACTGTACCAAGCACCAGGCCCTTATTTGACACATTTTTGGTTTTGGTATCTTCCCAAACAATAATCTTCATGAAATTACATCAAGTGTTAGTTATAAGGTTAAAATTAATAAATGGGGCTGGCGCTGTGGCACAGTGGGTTAATGCCCTGGCCTGAAGCACTGACATCCCATAGGGGTGCTGGTTCGAGACCTGGCTGCTCCACTTCCGATCCAGCTCTCTGTTGTGGCCTGGGAAAGCAGTAGAAGATGGCCCAAGTCTTTGGGTCCCTGCACCCACATGGGAGACCCGGAAGAAGCTCCTGGCTCCTGGCTTTGGATCGGCGCAGCTCCAGCAGTTGTGGTCAATGGGTAGTGAACCATCGGATGGAAAACCTTTCTCTCTCTCTGCCTCTCCTCTCTCTGTGTAACTCTGACTTTCAAATAAATAAATCCTTTAAAAAATTAAATTAAATTAATAAATGATTATGAAGAAATCCTTGCCCATGTTCTTTGCAAATTATCACCCAGTGATATGAGCAGTATGCTCTGTAAACCACTGAGTTCAATATTTTCCCCATATGGGCATGCTTCTGAGATACAAATAATTTGGGGATGAATTTGGCAGTATATATCTCATCTCTTTGAAATATTAACGATATAATAGTAAGGTACCAAATATACTTTCTACATTTGCTTTGATAAAGTGAAAAAAAAAAGGGAAAAAAAGCAAAGAAAACCTATCTTGCAGGATTGCTGCAACTGAAGCATCAAGAGTCAATACCAATATAAATTAGCAAAAATATGGTATATGCTATAGAGAATGCTAACTTATGTATATTTATACAAATGCACAGATAAACATACAAGCATGGATGTGCACTGACACCAGGAGCACAAATTCAACATGAGAAGTGCTTTACCTATAGACTGCTTGCATTCAAAATTTTACTTGTAGCTTCATTGTTTGGAATTCAGCTCCCTGTGCCTCATTTCTTAGATCAGAAGACAAATCACCCTGGCCTTTAATATTTCTGTATTATTTTTTATTGTTACATCCAAGCACCATGAACCAAGGTATTTAGAGGAAACACTCTGAACCTTGCAATTCTGAGTACTAGGACCACAAACAGCAATTACGTTACTAAGCCAACCAGAGAGTTCTGGTTTCAACAACACTGTAACCTCAACTTTGACTTCTTTCTTTTCAAACACAGAGAAATAATGAATTGCACATATTTTTAAATTGTTGCTTCATAACTACCAAGCTTACAAGTCAAGTCTACAAAATCCTAAGGAGTAAAATCTGACAAGGACTTGCTCCAGGCAGCTATTTGGGGAGTGAACCAGTGGATGGCATCTCTCTCTTTCCCCACTACCTTTCTTTCTCTCCCTCTCTATAACTGTGCCTTTCAAATGAATAAATCAATCTTTAAAAAAACTTTAGGCCGGCACCGCGGCTCACTAGGCTAATCCTCCACCTAGCGGCGCCGGCACACCAGGTTCTAGTCCCGGTCGGGGCGCCGGATTCTTGCCCGGTTGCCCCTCTTCCAAGCCAGCTCTCTGCTGTGGCCCGGGAAGGCAGCGGAGGATGGCCCAAGTGCTTGGGCCCTGCACCCCATGGGAGATCAGGAGAAGCACCTGGCTCCTGCCTTCGGATCAGTGGGGTGCGCCGGCTGCAGCGCGCTGGCCGTGGCGGCCATTGGAGGGTGAACCAACAGCAAAAAGGAAGACCTTTCTCTCTGTCTCTCACTATCCACTCTGCCTGTCAAAAAAACAAAACAAAACAAAAAACCTTTAAATAGAATTTAAATGGAACTAAACAGACACCAAAACACATCTGACAGAAGCTATAGTATACTAAGGCAAATCATGAAAGCAATGAAATGACCTATTAAAGGAATAGCAAGTAAATTTGTAGCAATTTTTGCCACAGTAAATGATGAGCAGACACTTCCGCAGGGTCAACGTCAACTTAGTGTTCTACACTTAGTGATTACTCAGAATGGGAGACATTTTTTCCAATAAAGTCTGACAGAATGCTACATTCACAGACTTTGCTAAAGTAATTATAAAAGAATATGCTTCAAGATAATACATTAAATAAATAAAAAGAATAAAGTTCTGTCCAAGAGGCAGTGGTGTCAAAGAAATCAGTAAACACACAGTAAATCTAAATAAGCACTGTCTGTAAAAATAACAAATATTGGTAATGATGAGGATGGGTAGTTGGGGAGCTAAAGGAATGAACAATAATTTTAGGTAACAGCACAAATGAACAAGAAGCGGAACCTATGTTAAGTCGTTCTAACATTCTTGTCGGCTTGGGAAGAGAGCAGGGATACACATTATGTTAGGGCAAAGATTTGTGACCGAGCACTAAAAGGGAAAGCATTTGTTGACCTCCAAGCCAGTAGGATGGTAAAAACAAACAAAGAGAATGTATCAATCCAATGGAAGAAAATCCATTAAAAATCCAAGAATGGGATGGGTGTTTGACATTGTATCTCAGATGCTGGTCCTTCACTGGGCTGCCTGGGTTTGAGTCCTGGCTCTGCTTCTGAGCCAGTATTCTGCAAACACACACCCTAGGAGGCAGCAGGTGATGGATCAAGTACTCTGGTCCCTGACACCCACATGTGAGACCCAGACTGAACTCCAGACACCTGGCTTTGGCTTGGCCAAATACTGGCTATTGCAGTAATTTCAAAACAGTAATAAAATGAGTAAATCTATGACACATTTGATTAAATAGTTAGAATTAAAAACATCCAGAAAATAGGTAGAAAATGGGTTTAATAAAAATTAGTACTTAATTGAGAATATTAACTTTATATTAAAAATTTGGAAAGGAATAAAACAATTGTTATAGAAAATATGTATTACTAGATGTGAATAAATGTAAAAATACAAACAGAAATACATTTGTAACCATTCCAAATGGAAATGTGGACACTGGTCTAGTGGTTAAGATTTAAGAAATAAATCTTTTAAAAAAAGTAAAATGATGGAAAATTAGTAAGATAACATTCAAATTAAAATTTTACATCAAAGAAGAACACTGTGGCACAGCGGGTTAACGCCCTGGCCTGAAGCCCCAGCATTCCATACAGGAGCCAGTTGGAGACCCAACTGCTTCACTTCCGATCCAGTGCTCTGCTGTGGCCTGGGAAAGCAGAAGATGGCCCAAGTCCTTGGGCCCCTGCAACCACGTGGGAGATCTGGAAGAAGCTCCTTCCTCCTGGCTTTGGATTGGCGCAGCTCTGGCCATTGCAGCTAATTGGGGAGGGAACCAACAGATGGAAGACCTCTCTCTCTCTCTCTCTCTGCCTCTCCTCTGTGTGTAACTCTGACTTCAAATAAATAATAATTCTTTAACAAAAAAAAAGAGCAAGATAAATTTAAAGAATGTAGAACAGGAATCCCCTGATATGTTTCTAACTCTACCATTTGGGGCAAGTCAGCTTGAGCATGTCCCAAATTATACATCTCTTCCCTCTC